TGCCTTCTTAAATATTTGGGTGGTAGCAGCGAAAATCTACTCATTTAACATGGGTTAACAAGTGCAGTAGAATTTTTGTACCTATAGTCCTCATGTTTCTTATTTTCTCCCCATAACCACTGTTTTGTTCTCTGTGTATTTGAATTTTTTTTTTTAAAGATTTCCACATTTGTGAGATACGCAGTATATTCCTTCTGGTGTCTGGCATAGCTGACTGAGGATAATGGCCCTCTAGGCCATCCATTGTGGCAGGTGGCAAGACCTCATTCCTTTTTTAGAGCTGAGTAATATTCCATTATGTGTATTCCATAATTCTTTATCATTTATCTGACAACACACTTTGGTTGTTTCCATAGTTTGGCTATTTGAGTAACGCTGCAATAAGCAGGGGAGTGCGATATCTTTACCAGGTGGTGATTTCATTTCCTCGGGGTTTATGCTCAGAAAGGAATCGATGTGTCTTATGGTAACTCTATTTTACATTTCTTTAGAAAGCTCCATTCTGTGTTTTCCACAATGGCTTTTTACCAGTCTATATTCCCCTTTCTCCACCTACTCACCCCGTTATCTTTTCGGTAATAACCATCCTAGTGGGTGTGACATGATATCTCAATGCTTCTGACTTTTCAGTTCCTGGTGATTGATGACATTGAGCGCCTTTTCACATACTGTTGTCCGTTTTCTTTTTATGAGATGTTTTTGCTATAGGGTGTGTGTGCTTGCCACAGACAGAAAACAAGAAATCATCCCCTAAAGGGGATTACCACACCACGGTCCCTTCTCCTCATTGTCCTCTCGGGATCTTGGGCATGCATGCACATGCAGCTGGCCTGAGTTTCAAGCCACCAAGTCCAGGACTGAACTGTGGTCGGCCCTGTGAGAGTTCAGTGCTGCAACCATTATGCTATCTGCTGGTCCTTCTTTTGCCTATTTTCACTCTGTCTTTGAAGAAATGCCTATTGAGGTCTCTTTTCCTTTCTTAATTTGGGTTGTTTTTTTCCATGACTGATTTATATGCATTTTTTTTTATAAATTTGGGATAGTAACCTCTTGTAAGATATAGAGTGTGCATATTTCATCTTTTCAATCTGTAAGCTGTCATTTCATTTTGTTGATTGTTTCCTTCACTGTGCAGAAGCTTTTGTTTACTGTAGTTCCATTTACTTATTTTTATGGAAAATAAAGCTGGGCTATTTGTACTTTAATTACTGTGAAACAGTAAAGAATGCTTTTCTACTCACCATGAGGTTACATTGTAATTAGAAATGCATTTAATACACCTAATACACCAAACATAATAGCTTAGCCCAGCCTACCTTAAAATGTGCTCAGGACACTTAACCTGTGGTTAGGCGAACAGAGAGCCTATTTTACAATAGTGGTTTTTTTTAACAGAAAGCGTGTTTTACAATACTGTTGTTATAATATAAAACAATTTAAATCAAAATTCAAATTATACTTAAGCTTATGAATATGTATAATTCTTGCACTGTTTTTATTTATTTTTTTGGCTATGGGCTACATATGCTTACCAGAGAGAGGGAGAGGAGGAAAGTGAGAAAGCATCCCCAGGGTGGATGACCATGCCGTAATTCCTTCTCTTCCATTCACCTTCAGTATTTTGGGCATGCACACACACGTGCCTAGTGTGATATTCAAGCTACCAGGTCTGGAACTTGCAGTGTGCTGTTGGCCATGTGGGATTCAGCTGCCTTAACCACCTGGCTGACCCACTACACTATTATAAAGATGATATTTAGTAAGTCAAAGCATAATAAGTTGGAAACTGTGTGCACACATACATTTTTTTGAGAAATTTTTGCGATAGGGTGCTTGTGCTCACCAGAGAGACAGGAAGTGAGAAATCACCCACCAGGGGGGATGGCCATGCTGCAATCCTGCTTCCTCCACTCTCATCTTGGGATTTTGGACACACGCACATGTGCGTC